TTAGGGCTTTGGAAGCGGGTGATCAGGAGTTGGAGCTCTTTGCCAGCATGCTGTACAGCTACATCTCTATTTCACATGAGCATGTCAGGAAGCCCCCCAGGTTGGTGAACTGGGGAGGATCTGAGGATGTTCCCTAAAAAGCTGCCTTGTAGAAACTAAAAGCCAGAGCTGTTGTAAGACCAGACTGCCTATCACATCCGATTCCCACCCACAAGGGAAGAATGAAGGGTGTCCTTTTCCTGAGAGAACTTCTTGGCTTTGCCCTGCATAGTTTTTAAAGCTTGTTTAGAGACCAAAGTAACACCTACTCTCTCTTGTTTTCAGTCAGAGCTGAATTAGTGGAAAAATGGAAAGCAGAGAGAGAGGCCCGGCTGGCAAGAGGAGAAAAGGAAGAGGAGGAGGAAGAGGAGGAAGAGATCAACATCTATGCAGTCACCGAGGAGGAGGTACTGGGTGGGCAGGGAGGGACCCCTGGCGCTCACAACCTTCTGCTCTGAGTCGTGAAGCCAGGGCCTCGGGAGAATAGGTGGTGTGGTAAGAAGGAGGCTCAGCTCATAGACGAGCAGTCAGGGTCAAAGCCCAGCTCTGCCCCTACCTTTAGCCAAGACCTCAGCCTCCTCACCTGGAAGATGAATATAGAGATCACCTCCTAGGATCGCAGAGAGGGTTTATAATGGCTATGAGAGCACTTTGTAAACTGCTGTACATCAAGGATTACTTACTTACGTCTTAGAGATGGGCCCTCCTGAATATACTGGAATTGGATTTATAAACATATTTGAAGCCATGTAAGTTTTAGCCTGTGACCTCATCATTTCTTTTTAAATGGCAGTGCCAGTAGCTCTTTTGTAGTCTTAACACTCCATTTTAGAGGTGGAAACCAGCCCAGAGCAGAGAAGGGAGTTACTCAGAGGGTCACTGTTGGGGATGGAACTACGTATGATCCCTGCCTCTGGTGGCTCCCAGGTGTTCTGCAGGGCCTGGTGTGTTTAGGCCTTGATCCCCGGACAGGTCCAGCATGGAACTGATTTGCTGAACTGAGAAAGGAGGGGGGAATCATCCATGCATAGATGATGAGTATGGTCCTATGTGAGGAGCTTGCTGTGATATTACTGGCAAGGAAGCAGGCTCAGAGAGGTGTAGTAACTTCGTCAACAACACCCAGGATATAGCAGACCTGAGGTAATGCTGAGGTCTGGCTGATGAGCAATGGGGATAGTGAAGCATTTGAAGCAGAATGGCAGTGTGCCCTAGGAAGATTTTCTCTAGGTGCAAATATCCATCTGCTCTTTCAGTGGATGTTTGTTTAATTAGTGGCTACTGTGAGCCAGGCCCATGCCAGGGGCACAGCAGTGAACAACCTCCATTTGTAACTCAAAGTCCAGTGGGGAGAAAGTCCAGTAAGTAGAGATAGTGGAAAACGGCAGCTGTGACAGGAGCTCTGAGATAGTGACGTGGTTCAGAGAGAATCCATGAAGGCTTTCCTGGGAAGGTGACCCTTCAGCTGAGATCTGGAAGAAGAGGTGATGAGAGAAGAGTCTTCTAGGCAGGGGTAACAGTGTGTGCAAAGAC